TAGGGTTGTGAGATCATTAGACACTTTTTGGCAACAAAACTTGTCATATTTTTGTCATTACAGATCGTAGTTGTTGTTTGTTTGTTTGTTCTTTTATTTATTGTTATGGACTTGGTGCAGACTAAAAGAGCATTTACTTTTAAAAAATACACCGTTCTTATTCATTTGGTTAGGATTCAATCGTACATCAATCTTGTACCTAACTTGTATTTAGCCTGTGCTTAATTCTGTAATCCAAACATATTTGTTTCACAACGTATTTAGCTTCTATATGCACTTGTGCAGAGATATGTTGCTGATGTTGAGAAATCATGGCCTGTCTTGATTGTATGTGGTGGAATTGTGCCAGTATTCCTTTCAGTTATTTGGCTTTTAATGATTCGCTACTTCGTTACCGCCATGCCATGGATTACGGTTGTCCTGTTTAATTGCCTTATCATATCAGTAGGAATGTTCTACTACTCAAAAGGTATGGATATATAATTATCAAAAACCATACTGTCTCCCCCGTGCTTAAATTTAATAGTTTTGGTTTAGTATGATTTATGAAATACATATTCAATTTCCTTTCTTTTTTGTAGCTGGATGGATTGGAAACAGTGCAATATCCCCCATCATTGGTGAACATGACCCGTATTATAATGTGCCTGCAAGGGTATATTTTGGCCTTTTTCTAGCTTTCTTTAACTGCGTTCTCATTTTTAACTGTTTCTCTGTGGTTTACTGAAAGTTTTTTACCCTTAGGAGTTGAGCCATCTTTATGCCACCAATGTTTTCATGACCATTATCATGGTTATTGCATTCCTATCATCCATTGCTATAGTGCGACGCATCCTCATGGCAACATCTGTTCTCAAGGCAAGTACAAATCACCATTATCATATTCATGATTACCTCCCATACCAACACATTATAACCATCATCATCATTATAAATAACTATTAAATTTGTGTCTAACTAATACAATTCGTATGTAATAATAGCAACACTAACTCACCCAAAATAGTTACAAGGACATAAGATTTACCTCATATGGGAGGATAAATAGGTTCAAAGTAAACAAAGAAACCACAACCATACCATACTATGAGATCAACTAACCTTAAAAGGTCAAGAGGAACGGATTACCCCATTCTATACATTAGCCACATATCTAGTACAAACTGGATGTGGATGCTTAGCAATAATAATAAGGATCCTTTTTTACAGGTTGCTGCCAAAGTGATTGGAGAAGTGAGGGAACTAATAGTTTTTCCCATCATTCCATTTGCCATCCTTGGGATCTTTTACATACTGTGGTTTGCAGCAGCATTCTATCTTTTCAGTTCTGGACATGTTGTTCAGAATGATTGCAGCAACAACTGTTGTTCTTATGATCTTAAAGCAAAACAAGTGAAGTGTGATCATTGTTGTGGCTTTAGTGTAAAATATACCCCTTATATTTCCGTGGCTATTCTTTTCCACTTGTTAGGTGGTTATTGGGCTACACACTTTATCGTGGCATGCTCCTCAACCATCATTGCTGGCTCTGTTGCTTCTTATTATTGGGGTCGAGATGCAGTGTCGGTGAGCCACATAATGTTTTTTTACCATTTTTACAAATGCATGTTAGTAAATACTGTTGTTGAAAAAATCTTCTTTAAATGCAGCCTGATATTCCATTTTTCTCAGTCATCTCCTCAATGAAACGGCTTATGCGTTACCACATTGGGTCTGTTGCCCTTGGTTCTCTAGTTGTTTCTTTCACAGAGTCCATCCGTTTCATACTCGAAGTGCTTCGTCGCAAATTTAAAGCAACTAGTTCCACACAAGAAAGTTGGGGGGACAAGATGGTTTTTAATACCTCAAGGGGTTGCTCGAAATGTATTAGCTGGATTATTAAATCTGTGAACCATAATGCTTATATTATGGTAAGGATAAGGAAGTACGTTTTACTTGTTAAATCATCTCGTCAAATATAAACCTTGAGGATAGAATCTCAAGTATTAATAAGGTATCCAGTCCATCACGCTTAACAGCTCACATAAGACTACAAAAAGAGCACAGTAATTTCAAGTTTTGTCTTTTCTAAAGAGCCTCCATCTTGTGGGCATATTCAACCATCTTGTGTTTTTTGTCTCTTTCTTTCAGATTGCTATTACAGGAGAAAGCTTCTTCAAAGCTTCAGAGGCTGCAACAGAACTGATTATCAGTAATATCCTCAGAATAGGAAAAGTCAATGTTATTGGTGATGTCATCCTTATTCTCGGGAAGCTATGCATCAGTCTTGCATGCACACTATTTGCTTTCCTGATGTTGAATAGTCACAAGTACAACTCGGGATACAACAAGATCTCATCCCCACTGTTTCCAGTGCTGGTGTGGTTTCCCAACCCTCTTTAAAAATCAGGGTTAATGTGTCAAACCCTCACGTGATATATAAATTTTATTTGCATTAGTCATACATGATTAAAAATATACTATGTATATCAAAGCCTTTTTTGTTATGATTAATTACGCACGCACTACCTCAGAACGAAAATTGTAACTGTCTGGTTAAAGCACACGCCTTGATATTTTAGTAATAACTGAAGTATTTAATTATTCACACAAATTTACATACATGCTGCCATGGTGGACCATAACATCAAAAGCGTGTGTTTCCCCGATAGTAAAAAATGTTTATCTAGAGTACTTCATGCAAGATTTATGCAATTTTTGAATCACAAAGGGCGGATACATAGCTTATGCATAGAGTTTGTACATATGAAGGGAATATGGTAGATTAAAACCTTAAAATTCTCATTAACCAAACAGCCTCTTAAGGATTTAGCAAAGTCATAAGTTTGTATCTACATGTGTATGTATGTGTATACATATATTTATATACGGAGTATGAAAGTGATTTGTGATGCCCCTTTTTGTATGACAGGTGTGCTGGGGGCTTGGATATATTGTTGCAACCCTTTTCTTTGTAGTGGTGCAGATGTCAATTGATACCATGATCCTTTCATTTTGCCAAGACACTAGAGTCAATGGAACTGGCCACTACACACCACCAGCCCTTCTGGCTGAGGCTTTGATGAGTGACCATAATGACATATAAAGGCACTTTGCACAATCATCGCCCTAACTTCACATATGCAAGCTTCCTCTAGTAGTGTAGCTTCATACTTTTTGGTTGTGATGTCTATCTCTAGAGTTTTTTTGCCCTTCCTCCTTAGTGTCATTCACACACTTTTGATAATCGACCACAATGTATATAGTTTCAGGTATGTCTATATCTATAATGTAATAAGTTCCAATTCATATCGTTGCGGATGTATACTACGCCTTAATGAATATTTCACATACTTGTGAATTGTGGTGAGCATCACCATTCTATAGGGTCGGGGTGTGGCCTCAGAGCGAGGGATTTTGTCTTTTGGTCCATATAATATGTGATGAGGATTTATTTACTTAGTAAAGACCCTATAGTGTACTTGTGATGTGAATTCTTACTTAGGTTGGTTGTGTTTTCTGAAGTTGGTTTCCACCTCGAGCAGTATGAAATGCTCTACCATTCTTCCTAACCTCATCCGAATGAAGAAGTGCTAAACAAAACAGTTTTCATTATGGATTCTAGAAAGTAGAAACCACCAATCTGCTACCTAAACTATTTTTAAAAAGGACGTACAATATGCAGGAAAGCAAGACCAAGGTCAAAGGAAAAGAACTTTTGTAAGAAAAAAGTGGAGGTTTTTGAGTGAGCCTACAAATTAAATCTATTTTCTGCTCTAATTACAATTTTAGTAAAAGCTATGTATTACTAGTACTATGTTATATTCAATATATTCTAAAATTGATTGAAAAAAGAAATCTTAAAATTTCTTGTGTTTTAAATTTTAAAATTTATTTATTGAAAACTGTGTTCTTATTTTATTGATTATAAAATATTCAAACTTTTGCAATACAACCAAATAAAGTTTAGTACTCTGTACTAATTGTTGTTATTTATATTAAAAAAATTTGTTAACTTTTTATCTATAAAAAGTTATGCTATTAATAAAAAGATAGACATGTGTTATTTATGGATAAATGGTCTAGTTGTGCTATTAATAAAAAATATGTGTTATTTACCTTTAACTGTAGTGAAGTATTGCTGAATTTTGCACATCAGACAATAAGAAAAAATTATTAAAAGCAGTCTTTCTATTTTTTGTACTACAAAGATAGACATGTTTCGAATTTCATACTGTGCACGCTTTCTTTTACTGTCTTTCAAATTCTATATTTGATTGCATTTTCCTTTTATTATTTTTAATCAAATACTATATTAATGATTTATTGTGTAAAACAATGCTGACTATTATGAACATCGGTATTTTTGTATGGAACATCAAACATAATAAAGATGGGCCTGCATATGGACTTGGTCATACAAATAAGGTCTATAATTTATATCTATGTTTTAATTCTTTTATTTCCCTACACACTTCTTTCTCTATGTTAAAATAAAACAATCATCTCACTCTATGTAGGGGTGGACTCGGGTCCGGGCCGGGTCTGGGTCGGGCCTAGGCTCGGGCGGGCCGGCGGTTCAGGAGTGTTGGACCCAGGACCGGCCCGGGTAACCACCGGGTCCGGTCCGGGTCCGGGCCGGGCCCATTATCAACTATTTTTTCCCCTCTTCCTAATTAACCCCCTCCCACCCCAACCCCCAAACCACCCCAAATGGCCCAAAATACCTAACCCAACCCGAAAATATAAAAAAAATTGAAAAAAAAATCAAATTTGGACCGAACCGGGCCCGGGCCCAGCCGGGTCGGGCCTTGTTTTGGGTGACCCGAGCCCGGACCGGAAAACTCACGGGTCGGGCCTACCCGGACCGGTCACTGACCGGGCCACCGGGTCGGGTCGGGCCAGAACAGTACCGGTGCCGGGCCGGTTCCGGGTCGGGCCACCCGGCCCGAGTCCATCCATAACTCTATGTATCTCTTATGCAACATAAGTTGGACCTTACTACACTATATATCCTCCCATGGAAGATGATCTAATATAATTGTCTAACTCGGTCATATGAAAATGCTACTCTATGAATTTATATAATTTTAACATGAGGTTCTTCACCTAGTTTAAGAGTCAAACTAGCTCATGAACGGGGTTGAAAATGATATGGAAAAGTAAAATAAATGGGTATGTTTAGACTCAAAAGCATGAAAAAGGAGATCTTGAGCTAAGATCATTTCTGGAATTCTATTCTATTTTTAGTCGTCTGATTAGAAGTATTTCTCGTATTTTTGGAAGTTAACTTCTATTTACTCATATTTTGGGTCATTAATCTAATTTTGATTGACAGTAGTAGAATTTTGGGGTGAAACTAGATTTTCTTCCACTGCCAGGTGTCAACTGCCAACTCAGTACAGACCGAGAGATATCGACATAGAAACTTGCCCGACTCAGTGAGGCGCGACTCGCTTGTGTAACCAAAGTCTTCCATGGATCGAGTTCTGAAAGCTGCGAGAATCTCTGGTTCACTCAATTTATCCAACCGGTCTCTCAGGTTGGTTGTTTAAATTCGTTAAACGATACATTTGGCTTATGCATTTCTGTTAACTGTAACGCCTCATTTCAGTTGACAATTGTTATCAGGGAAGTGCCATATGAGGTTTACCAAAGTCTGGATGCAGTTGGTGGGGAGGAGAAATGGTGGGAGGTATTTGTTCTGTTGGGACTTGTTTTTGTTGCTTCTTTGATGATCAAGTTAAGATGCCATGTGCTCGTATTTTCATTCAATGAATTGAAATGTGAAGCCTAAGGTTGTGATTTCTAGGCATATGTGATAAAGCTAAACAAGTTGTTTGTTTTATTAAAATCCGAATTGAAAGAGAAGAGTTTTGTTCGAGAAGAGCTTCTTCCAAAAATAGTCTTTTTTCAACAAACCAACTTTTTTTCACCTGGCTATTTGAGCCCTATTGGGCAGTTTTTTGCCAAGCCGAGATGGATTTAATTGATTGATAATGGAAATATTCGTCCAATGTGTAAAACGTTTTTTTGTCAAAGAGGCTAGATGAAAGAAAAAGACAACTGTTCCCTTATTTTCATAAGTTTTTGTTCCTTTTTACTTACAGAAACAACTTTAATTTTTTCCATAACTGAGAAGGTTGAACAACTTCATCCATTTTCCCCGTAATTTTAAGCAATATGAGGTGGTGAGCCATCTCAGCTCAAAGAGGCTCTGGTTTTCCTTTTTAATCATATTTCCATAACAGGAAGAGTTCTAAACAAGTTATGTGAAAGTATTTGTCACATAGTGCCAAAATATGAAATATTTAAAAGAAATGAGAACATTATGAACTCCAAGTCTTAATACAATATATTTGCGACATAAGGAGGTATTAACGCACATTAAGAAAATTGAAATTTTGTGATTAGTATTGTACGTGTAAAGTATGAACGAGTTCGAACAATACAAGTATTACCAAATATAATGAGACTGAACATTAAAGGAAAGATCAGACCAAAATAGTGGGAGAGAGGGATTATTTTTAGCTTCCTTTATTAATATCAGTATTAATTACTTTTTCTATTAGTATTAGTTTCCAATTACTCTGTTAGTAATGGCCTTCCATTATAATCAATATTTATCATAGCGTCATTATAGTAGGTTTATGGCTATCTATCTTAATTAAAATTTCTTATAGCATCATTGTCCTAGGTTTATATTTAGTCTAGTACTTTTTCACCAAGACTCTTAAAACTGGTATAAAATGAGGTGTTCAGTTCATTAGTAAGATCATCAATCTTTTCGAGTAACTGTTATTATGATAGAACTGACTATTTCTCTATCTTCTCTTCATCTCCCAACCGAACACGTAACGTTATGATTGATGGATTATTAGAGGGCCACTTTACCAAAATTTAAGACTTATGTCTTGTGAAAACATGACTATTGTGATACAAAGGTGTTTTTTGGTATATATGCCTATTTGAAGGTAAAACTATGAAATGTTTAAATGCAATTGAATGATTTCCAGGCAGTGGAATTGCAGAAGTTGATTTTGGCTCATAATGATATTCAAACATTGAAAGAAGACATCCGGAATTTGCCTCTCTTGTCAGTGCTGAATGTTAGTCACAATAAGCTTTCATGTCTTCCAACTGCTATAGGAGAGTATGTTATTTCAAAATGCCTAAATGCAAAACGCCTGCTTTTTTTATTCGAAGTTTCAAAGAATCTTCAGCTTACCAGTATGCCTTCACTTCATTTGACTAGGCTTCCGATGCTTAAGTCATTGGATGTGTCATTTAACTTAATCCAGAGTGTTCCAGAAGAAATTGGAGCAGCAACCACGCTAGTCAAGTACGTTTTTCTATTTTCTAGAGCATATCTTTTTCAACATAACTGATAAACAAAACAAAAAGTTTTTATTTATTTATAAATGCTTACTCCACCACGCCAGGTTTGATTGCTCAAACAACCAACTAAATGATCTTCCCGATTCTCTTGGAAGATGTTCAAATTTAGCTGAACTTAAGGTAGTTTCTCTTGATACTGAAGTTATAAAGTTCTGGATAATTGATCCAGTGCTTTACTTATTTATTGCTTTTTGAGTCATTCTATAATGTTTTCTAATAGAGGGCTTAATTTTGATTAAAAAAATTAATCTGATGAGGCACAGCTAATATTTCATGATCCCCAGGTGTACCAAATGATCTATCCATTTTCTTTTATATTTAGTCATCTCTGACTTCTGATTAGTTGATAGAGCACTGGTAATCTATCCTCAGAACAATTATAGAAAATCAGTAGGAAAGGTAGAAGAACAGATCGAAAAGCTTTATTCACCAAGATGAACAGATCACAAGGGATACAATGCTCATGGACCATTCGAGATGCCCAGTCTCCAAGTCTAATCTCAACAGAAATAACAGCCTACCTCCTGCCAGCTATTCTTCTTCTATTTATAGTAATCTATCCACGCAGGGATATAAGGGTATAACTAACTAGTTAGCTAATTACTAACTACTCTCCGGTTCCTCCTGTGATAGACTTTATTAAAATATTGAATAGGCTGCTGATCTGTATGCATATCATTAGTTGTGTGCATTGTATATCTTACATATGTTCTCATCAGTTCAAAGTGAACTAAAAAATGTTCCATAATTGTTAAGTGTCATGTATCAAATGTTTATCAGATCTGAGGCTAATATATATGTATGAGGTAAACCGGTCTGCGGTCTTTAAGCGCGGTTGGCGTATTGCTGCACTTTGAGTTTCAGGGAGTGGGAGTATGATTTGCAATTGACCAACTTGGTTGTCCACTTAAAAGAGAGTGTTACGAGTTTCAAAACCTGAAAATTAGAAGAGTGAGTGATGGATTAAGTAGACCTTTGGTTGAACGGGCTGACAGATCGTGTTTAATTTATTAGTGTGGTTTGACCTAAGTGTCTTGAGTCCAGTTGAGTGGCCTCAAACCAATTTTGAATTCTATCAATAATAGTACTTCATAACAATCATACCAATGTTTCATAATGGAGAGATCAAGTTCATTCACTGTGATCTTGGAGGTTTTAGATATTAAAAAAGGTTTTGTTCATAAGCATATTTTTGTATTTGACTGTTCAAGTTTAGATGCTTTCTGTGTGATTTCACTCAGGCCTCAAACAATAGTATTTCTAGATTGCCAGAAGATGTTGCCAACTGTACAAAATTAATGAAGCTGGAAGTGGAGGTACTAAAGATTCATGTAATTAATTTCTTAGTTTCTGTGCAATCCTTATGAAGGTTGTCTTGTAAGCACATTGTGTGTCTTCGTACCAGGGAAACAAGCTATCAGTGTTATCCGACAGTTTGTTTTCATCATGCATAATGCTTACGGAACTGAATGCATGTAAACTTCTGTCTTTTCTATTTATTTGTCTTTTCAGTTTTATTATTAATCTGGGTTGATGTATTGCCTTCACATGTGGAACTTTATCAGCTAAGAACTTGCTGAAAGGATTTCCGGAAAACATTGGAAACCTTAAACGATTGATTCGCCTGGATGTCCATCAAAACAGTGTGTAAAACAAGTTTGATAGATTTTTCAAATTGAGTTTTGTTATCTTATTATTGCTATCTATATTATTATTATTATTATGATTGTCATGATTCAACTGATTTACTATTCTATTATTATTATTATACAACTTGCAGGAATTTCATCAATCCCATCATCGATAAAGGGATGTTCCTCTCTTTTGGAGTTGTATCTAGGGTATATATGATATATCCTCCGAGTTTTATATATCTAAGACTTTCTCTATTCTGGGTTCTTACTTTTGAGCATTCCTCTCTGATAGGGATAATGCTCTTACTTCATTACCAGCAGAGATAGGAGAACTGACTCAATTGGGATCACTTGATCTGCACTCTAATCAGGTAGTTTTCAACATACTAAGAGATGCTCTCTCGTAGTCACTTTCATGACTAAAGTTTAGCAGAAGAAAGAATTTTTATGATGGAGCATGAAAAGTACTCATTGTAATGCTTTGGTTTTTACAGTTTATTTTTAATGGCCAATCACTTCGTTGGTCTATTGGTTATGCTTGCTGGGTTGCATAAAATATATTTTTTCCATGTTGGTTTGTAGTTAAAGGAGTATCCAGTGGAGGCATGTAAACTGCATCTGTCAGTCCTGGACCTGTCCAACAATTCATTGTCCAGTTTACCTCTTGAAATCGGTATTGCCAGAATGTTGTGACTCATGTTTGTGGGAATTCTTTGGTGCACTTTTTAATGCATGAATGCATTGACAGATGTGTAATTAAACTTTAATACTATATGTCTCTTATTCTGGTTTGTAAAATATTTATTTGATGTCCTCATTTCTTTCGTATGGCAAGAAATGCATGGAATGAAAAGCATACCTTCTTGAATGTTTTTCTTCATGCATAAGCTAATGTAGGCTGAACATTACTCTAGGACTAATGACAACTTTGCGAAAGCTTTTACTTGCTGGTAATCCAATGCGAACACTTCGGAGGTTTGATTTTCATATTGCTATGTTGATTTTATTTTGTTTTACCTTCTATAGTAGATAATACTCATTTGTTCAAAACATAATTTAATTGTTCATCATTTTTCATCCCCAGCTCATTGGTGAATGGACCTACACCAGCTCTACTAAAATACCTTCGAAGTAGACTTCCAACCAATGAAGGTAGTTTGGTTCTTAACGTCTTTTAATGATGCTGTGGTTCTATTGCTTATTCTGTCATTGCATTTGTTTTTGTTTTAGTTTCTTTTAATAGTCCAAGGGTTTAAGATGATGGTCATGGTGAGTTTTCTTGTTATTATATTTTTTTTATCAATACTTTATTTGCTTCTTATGCATGAAAATGTAGACTTTGCTGCGAAAACACCTACAAAAGATGACGTGATATCGATGGCTAGAAGAATGTCCCTTACTTCAAAGGTTCGTTTATTTTTTATGCATAGCTGTAAAAAATTTCCTTTTCCTGTTTTTCCACTTTCCCTCATCTTTGATATGTTTAGAGAGAGGGAGGGGGGGTGGGGTTGTTTGCAGATGTAAGTGATCCAGTTTAAGGATCATAATGAATCACCTTCATAATCTTGTCTTTCAGGAAATTTCTTTAGTAAAGCTTGGTTTGACAGCTGTCCCATCTGATGTTTGGGAGTCCAATGATATCACCAAAGTTGATCTTTCTGAAAACTCAATAGAAGAGCTACCAATTGAACTTTCCTCTTGTGCTTCCCTTGCGGTAATATTTCCTACTGTTCCTATAGAGAAGATCGGCAGTATTTAGCAATAGAGGTTGAATCCTAAACTCAAAGCCATCGAAAAATAGTACTCCTGTGAAATAATAATGACTTTCCTAAAAGAGTGTCATAATGCATTGCAGTTTATAAGAATGTAGAGCCTATTTTGGAGAGAGAACATGTTTAGCCTTTTGACTGTATGACTGATTCAATGGACACCATATTCAGCTTGGTCCTTAATTTTTAATTGGACTCTATCCTGTCCTTGACTATGAAATTTGGACCCAAATCTATTCCCCTTCATATTTGGTTCTACATAAGAAGGGTATATTTGCCTGCATACAAAATTTGGACTCAATTTGGACTTCATTTTGCCCTACACTACGTGGGCTGGTCCCAATTTAGTTCCAAGTGCGTGAAAATATCCTTCTTAGTTAATAGCAAAAATGCTTGAGTACTCAATGAAGTCCACAGTGTACGAAAAGTACCATTGTTAATTACTGCAAAACATGCCTGGGTTTTAAATTGATGCTGAGTTGCATAGTCAAGGATCAACCAAGTCCAAAAGAATGCAGGAGGCCAATTTGAGCAGTAGTGTATAGTGTATACAATCTCGAGAGACCAAACACGCATTGAATCTTATTATGTAGGCTCTAGTCCTGCTGTTAAAGCCTAATATATATGATCACGGAAAAGGTCGCTGAGAGCTAGGAGGAAGAGAAGAATGTGAAGCTATGGTGATTGGAGTAACAATCAAAAGTCAAAACTTCTTGCCCTATATAAGGAAGATGGTCAACGGTCCCACCGTGAGTCTAAGAATAATGAGAATAGGTGCCAACCTATCTCAACAGAGCTGTTATTTCATCATCATCATCATTTTCATTTACCCCAGTGCCGCAAAGGCTCCCACCTACGGTGGGGTAGGGGGGGTCGGATGTACGCAATCTTACCCCTATACTAAAGCACAGAGAGACTGTTTCCGGATGACCCATAGTGAAAATCGCGTCCAAAATTGCATGGACTGACTGCTTCTTCATTACAAAGAAGCGCAGACAGTTTAGTGAGCCATTTTGCTTTATTCCATCATAATCTCAAGCCAAAAAATAATGAATCTTTGGCTCCATTGCAAATGATGGAAATAAGAGCTGTTATTTCATAAGATAATAATATTTTTTATTGTTTTATAGATAAGTGATGACATTATTATTTCACAAAAGCACTAAAGTAGAGCTTAAAGAGTTCAAAATTTATTTAACATATTGTGTTGTTGCTTACTCATCATATATTTTAAACATGAAGGCTATAATTTTATCAAAGAACAAGATACGAAACTGGCCTAGTTCAATCTTGATGTCACTGTCCAGACTTGCATGTTTGAAATTGGATAACAATCCTCTAAGACAGGTAATTGCTTTAAATTCTGGAATTTTTGTTGTTCCCAAAGCAAAGAAATACAATGCTCCCCTTTTTATTTAATCTGTAATATTAGTACAGTTTTTTATATCTGTAGCAGTAGGATAATGATTCCAATTGTAGAAGACATTATTACTATTAAAATGATACATGAGTTTTTTTCCGGATTAATGCTAATTAATTCATTAATTACGAAATTAGGGCTGGGTTAAAAGTTATTACCTATATACTGCTGGGAGTAACCATGGTCGGGCAAAGTCGCCAAACCGTTTGGCGACTTATAAGTCGCCATCCTGTGTGGCGACTTATAAGTCGCCAAACCGTTTGGCGACTTATAAGTCGCCAAACGGTTTGGCGACTTTGCCCTTCCCCAAAAACATTAACACCCAAACTGTCCTAAATGGATCCCGATAAATGCAATTCACCGTTTAACGACTTACCGAACACATACAAAACACAATTTGGTAGAAATGATACAAAGCGACACACCTGCTCAAAAATACAATATAAAAACAGCGTGTAGACATCCGATATGCATAACCAAACACATCAACACTTCATAAACAAATGACAAAATACTAATAACACAATATCCATTAGTTTGAAGGTAAAAATATGTAAAAAAAGTGAAGTGTTTCTACAACATTTGGTGTACATGATTAAGTTCAATAATAGAGAGACTACAAGTTTTCATGGTCTTCTTGATTCTTCGTCATGGAGTTGTGGTTGTTGACGCATACGCCTACGCCGCTGTCGTGGTTGAAGAACAACTCTGTCCCGCTGAGTCTGAGATGTAGAACCCACCGCTGCTGCTGATGATGTTGATGCCATATAATCTTGAGAGGGGGTCATATGTATAAGATGTCCATAGTTCACTCGGCCCAACACATCTGAACACAACGAAGCGATGCCCGTCAGAACCTGACCGTACATGTCCACGTCATGTGTATCATTAACTGAGGTAGTCGCTCGCTCATGTATACGCTGCAATGCCCGTGTCTGAAATGTGAAACATGAATTATAATTATTTTTTAAATAAATAAAATCTTAAATAAAGAACATGAAATACTTTTGTAATTAGTAGCACACTCACCGTCAAGTATAAAGCCATGGAACTAGGCTGGTAATGGTGATTAGGGAGTCTGAAAGAAGGAGAGACAAACAGACGTGTGATGCTGTAATACACTAATACCATCTCATGTAGCCTACACAAACAGATGGGACGAATGTAGGCGTCCCAATCACAACAAGCTCTGCTCGCCTCTCCCACACAGTGATGTATCTAACATGTCTGAGCGACCAATCTTCTGTAGGCTTCCCACGCCTATCCAGCTTATGGAGATTTACACATGTGTCGACAGGTACTGGAATGACCTGCTCATAGCCAAATGAAGCTCAACAATGTCAAAAAAGATCAACGAGACACGTGCTCGCCATATATCATAGTGCTCTCGTCCTTTCGAGGCTAACTCCTCTAACATCTGGGCTGTATATGGCATCCATGTAATCTGTTTGAAAAGTAAATAAAATTAGTCTTACTGCTTTTCATATGATAGGTAATTTATATGATGTGCAACAAACCTGAGCATCCGACATGCGATCAAATGCATCTTTATAGAAACCGAGTCCAGTAGCCGATGATGTGCGACAAAGATCAGCAAATAGCCATCTAACCGTTCATGTAGTACATATTAATATAAATATAATTCATATAATTATTCAGAACATACATAACATAAATATAGTCTTGTAAAACATACCGACGCCCCAGAGGGTCCTCGCCCCATCGATGATGTGGTCCAAGGAGACGTGGAGGCTGATCATGAAGTGGGAGTCCATCTAGCCCATGGTATCGTGATATAATGGGACGCCCAATGTGAATGTACTCCCATGACCAAAACTGTAACAAAAGCAAAATACCCCCAACCTCCGTGCTCCCACTCTGACAACCTCGACAAAGCTGCCTATAAAGATACGTTAGAGTGGCACTACCCCAACTGAATTGTCCAGCTACATCAAATATCTCTAGCATCGGCAATGGCAACATCTGAACCTCATCCCCACTCTTGTCTGCAAAAATGGAAGCTCCCATCAACATCAAAATGTATGCTCGTGCATGCTGCTGAATCATCACCTCATCTGCCTCTGGAGGAATAACAACAAAATGCTCCCTCAGCCATGACATCCTTAGGGATGATCCACGAATCTCTGTTCGGAGAAGGGGGTGAACACCCAACAATCGCTCCACATCCTCAACCCATGGCCGACATGCTGTACCTGTCACCGCTCTCCCATGGACTTGTAAGCCAGTCAAAACGGCCACATCTCCCAAGGTCACTTTCACCTCACCAACTGGGAGGTGAAATGTGTGAGTCTCCTGCCTCCAACGCTCAAGAAGAGCGGTGACTAGAGCTCTATCAAGTGGGACAGTAGCCACCAATCTGTGTACACAAAAAAACCGGCAGCTCTAACATAAGCTAAAACTCTATCGTCCACCTCCACGTGGGACAAACTACGGAGGTGCCCTCGACACCTATCAACTTGCACATCCACGCCACACCACACGTCCTCAGTCCTATGTGTGGCCTGCAATGTAAGGACAGAAGGATCAATCGGTCCTGGATCCGCTGCCACCTCCATAGTGCCTACAAAAATTGGGAAGTTGGAGAAATCCATATTCTAATAACAATATATAATGATAATTGATGAGTTCATATTAATATACACACTTTATACAAACAAAACCACACCTAACCAAATCAAAACATTACACAACAAATTCAAAATATTACATTGAAGTCAACATTAAAATTCAACATTTCATACATATTCATATTTCACAACAACTCAATTCACATATCAATTCCAAATTTAAAAATTCGAATTTTATTCTTAGGGAGTGTTTGCTATTGCTTCTACTTTAAAAAAGTGATTTTGGAAAAAAGTGCTTAATAGTAAAAGTTGGTAGTGTTTGAGAAAAAAGTGCTTTTGAAAAAGTAAAAGTTGACAGTGTTTGGTAAAAAAGAAATGTTGTTTGTGTAATAGAAAAAGTGAAAAGAGGTTTAAAGCACCCCCACCCCTCCACCTGCTTTCATCTTTTAGCTTTTAAGTGCTTAATTTAAGCAGAAGCTATCACTTGAAAACACTTGTTTCAATATTTTAAAGCCAAAATTTGAAAAGCACTTTTTTTAAGTTTTTGTTAACACTCCCTTAATTAGTTGTCATTTAGAAATTCAGAGTATGGATGTATCACATTTTCCTAACATTACCCTTCTTTACTCAACGATTATGGTGCAATTTCGCACCTCATACTTAACATGTGCGCAACACATCAACCTGAAATATATTGTGGGACAGGGCAATTGCTATTAATTATTAGCATATAGTGAATTGACCATGTTTTCACTTGAAATATTCTTGGGAATAATGGGATGTTCTCCATACTTAAATTTGTAAATTTGACCAAAGTTTTTTTACGTAGGGCCTGCCCTCCTGTTTGTTTGGCCTAGATGTAAGTGCTCAATCTTATGTTTAATTTGTAACATGGTTTGCATAGATACCATCAGATGGCTTCCAAGCTGTGCCAAAGCTTCAAATTCTAGACCTAACTGGCAATATAGGCTCTTTACCAGAAAATCCAGCATTTTCTTGCATGCCAAACTTGCAGGAGCTTTATCTGAGGTCTGCTTATTGGAACTTTTAACTATGATGTATATTCAGTGCCACGGTGTTCACTAATCTTACTTTCTCTGCGTAACTGAGCAGAAGGATGTGTATATATGTTGTTCCATCTGATATAATGAGCTTGAGGTGTTTAAGAATTCTTGATTTGAGCCAAAATGCCCTTCAGTCAATTCCTCAGGTAGCATCTTTGTCTATTTTAAATAAAAGACTTGCGTCTGAGTCAAGTATTGGCCCTTTGTGATTAAATGTATTTTCCTTTTCTGTTTTGGTATTAGTTTGGACTTTGGGCTCTATAATTTTTCTCTTGGTCACAAAAGGATAAGGACTTCTATGATGTGTCTACTTTTGCGTATAGATCAAGCTGAAAAAACCTGTAACCTAGACTAGAATGTCAAGCTGCTGTTTCAATCCGTAGATATCCATAGACGCGTATAAACATTAGATCTTAACCCTGTTGTGATAAATTGGCTTTCTCTGCAGGGAATGAAAGATTTGAGTTCTCTTACGGAGCTGGACCTTTCAGACAATAATATTTCTACACTTCCACCGGAGCTGGTTAGCATACATAGCTTGCATATCCTGAAATCCATGATTATTAGTTTCCTGAACATGCGTGTCTTAGAAACCGGGCAATAGTTGAAATCAATTACATTGCTTGCTTAAGGATTTAGTTAGAAGTAATTTTTTTACGGTATACCTTTTATTTACATTTATGTTCCCATTATCTCAAATCTCAAGGCCATATGATTAACACCATTATGAACACCTTAATGCCAACTTATGTTTCTGTACATTAACTAATTCTTTTTGTGGAAAATTTTCCTTTAGGGTTTACTGGAGCCTTGCTTGCAAGTGTTGAAAATAGATGGCAATCCATTGAGGAGGTACATTATTTTGCTCTCTGGTTTTTCACATCCTAATTATCACAAATAGCATGGTCAATTAACATTATTTTTTAACCTTTGCCTCAGCATCAGAAGGACAATTTTGGATCGAGGAACAAAAACTATTTTGAAATACTTGCAGGACAAAATTGTACAGCATTGACAATTCTAATTTGGTTGAGATCCTCATTTAGCTTTACCTTTTGGACAAAAGGGTGAAAAAAGAACTCTGTATCTATAGCTTATAATCTTTTATGACCGTGTTTGAAGCCTCACTTTTTGACTGGCAAATGAAGTAAGAAATGTGTGTTTGAGATTGTCCGAAAGACACCCATTGTATAAACCACTTGTGGTTTCCTAAAAAGGAAAGAACTAAGGACTAAATATGGACTGGGGGAATAACGTCACCAACTACTAAAAAATTAATCTACTTTGTACTTTGTATTTTTTACATGGGATAGTTTTTAGAAACGGAGTATTATTGATGCAAGAGTGTTTGAAATACTATGAAAGTTCATTGTGAGAATACTATGTCTCATTGCCATTGGAATGCGATGAACTGAATTTCATGACGCAACGGTACGGTTAGGAGGTAATTTGATAGTTGATAGTGTTTGACAGTGGATTGTAATTACTAATTTGATGGCACATTGTGTTTAATGTTTTGACATGTAAATGGTATTAGTGGCTTTTAAAAAATTGTTGGGAAAAACTGATTTACTATAGTTTGCTTGTAGAATCACTAATAGTTTGAGGGCTTATTTGCTCCTCTTTAAAGAAAGTTAGAATACTGTTATTAGGGTCGAACAAAATGTCAATAAAATGTAATTGACCTATCGTAATTGAATCAACGAAATCGAATTGATTTTAATCAAATTTTGGCGGTTCAATTCAGGGTTAGAGATTTAAGCATTGAAAATTAATTGAAGTGATCAAAACGAACTAAAATCCACGTCAAAATCGATCAAAACTGCTCGAAAATGACCCAAAACTGGTTAGAGGAATTTGGTAGGTTTTTGGGCTTATATTTTTCAAATAAAATCAACCTAAATCGAATTGATCAAATACAAAACGGACAAGAGTTAATTTACCCGGTAAAAGTTATTTGTTGAGGACGCTTAATGATCCTGTCGCCAAACGCTTCCCGTGCGGCCTTAATCGATCGCTTCTTCTCTCCCAAAATTATGCAAATCCAGAAATGGGCAGCTCTGCAGCATGGAAGCACCATCTTCTTAACTCTCTGAACTCTAATTCTCATCTCAAGCACTCCATCTACCTTCAACTTGTAAATATACACACAATGATGCATTTCATTTCCCTCGTTCTCTGTTTTTTTAATAATAATTTCAACTATTCTCTCTCAGGCAACAGTTGCACCAAATGGCAGGCCATCAAATCGCACCGTCGTCTTCAGGCCTGTCTCGCAGAAACTCCATTCATATTTCTTTAATTTGTTGCACTCGCACTGCTCATTTTTTAGCTTGAATTGGTGTTGACTTTGTTGGGGCATTTTCTTTCAGAGGCTTTGCAGATAATAGTGATAAGATACAAATCAACACTGACTCCAGATCTAGGAAGGTTCTCAAAACACTCTTCTAGCATTTTTGTGCTTTGATTGATGAAGCATTGGCATGAATCTTTTCTTAAAATTGAATTGGTGCAGATCGAAGATATAAAGTACTGCCCATTTGCTGAGGTACCTAAGATCGTAAATTTTCTTCCAGAGATGTTTTGTATGAAAATTTGTGCTTTCGTTTGTGTTTGAGAGCCCGTTTGGTAACACTAAAATTGGCTGAATTGGCTGATTCTGCTGAAATTTATGAAGTTCTGGCTGAAGTGGCCGTATTGGTTTATTCTGCTGATTCATGAAAAAATTACATTTAAAATATTTGTTATTAATAAATTAAATAAAAAATTATATGAAAAAATAGCTAAAATGATTCTCTACAGTAACTTCAGTCAATACAGCCAGAAAAGTAACTACAACCTTACTTTTTCTGCTTATTACAAACTTCAGCGCACGAAATCAAAAGTTACGTGTTTGGTGAAAAAGCTGGCTGATAAGCCTCATAAGCCGAAAAAAGGGTTACCAAACGGGCTCTGAGTTTCGATAGAAAGATTGGGACTGGAGAAGAATTTATTTAGACAATTGATTGTATAAATTGTCTTGAAAATTGTATACCAGTATGGTGGTAAATTTGTAATTTGCTTATCTTGAAAAGTTCTACTCCCTTCGTATCACATATGTGTCTCAGCCGTCTTTTCACGTAGTTTAAAATAATTAATAGATTTTATTATACATTTTTTAAAAAGTAAGAGATTTTTTGTATGGTAGCAATATTGTATACTTAATTAAAGTGTAATGTAACTACTTTTGGAATGAATTCTTTCAAAAAATGCAAATGTGAGAAATATTGTAATACAACCAAAAAAGAGTACGTGACACATATTATAATACGGAGGGGGTACTATACATTTTTATGCTGCTGTTCCTTGCAATCAACAATGTGCTAAGTTGTGATGTTTCAGATATGCTGGTATTTTACTGATTCATGGGAGCAGTATCGAATAAATGGGAGAATTCACATCATTGATGCAACAAACCCCAATCCAGATAAGCTTCAGGTGATGCAGGAGAACATGGCATGCTCACATTTAGCACCACTTAGCAATTTTTTTTATCAAACACTACACTTTTGATTTCACACTTTGAAATAGTTAAGTCTGACAGCTGAATGGGCTTGTCGAAAATGACCGCTTTAGCTTCATTTTGTTAATAAAATACTTCATATATTTTAAAAATAACTTTTCTATAATCCAACCAACTAAGGTGTTATTTTTAGTAGTTCTAATAGATTCAACCAATTCAGTGTTGCCAAACAGGCTTTGAGTTTGTGTTGCCTGAATGAATTACTCTAGATGCTAGATCAATACAATTTTATGCGTATCTCGAAAAATCAATGAAACAATCCTCCTCCTCAGTCCTCACATTGAGATGGACTCTTTTTCTCCAACTTCATTTAAAAAATCAATGAATTCCTTTTCACTGATTTCAATTGGTGTTTTGGGATGGTATGCAGCAAAGAGAGAGAGCATGGCTTGATAGCTCAGTTAGATCAAGACTTCAGTATTTGGGGCCCTCCCCTGCTGCAATTCCTTCTTTGAAAGATACATCATTTCAGGAGCCTTCATTGGATCCTTCTACTGGTCCGGTAGATGCATTTTGCCTTCTAGTTTTGGATCCTGAGCAGGTGAAGTCCTGTTTATTGAATAAACTTCTTCTCATCACGCCACAATGATCACCATTCTTGGTTAAAGTTAAGACTACTATTTGCTCACAGGTTGATTTCTTGAATTTGAGGAGTAATAAAAGGATCACATTTGCTTCCAGATGCAGCAGCATCAATGGAGAGAAAATTTGGACATCTACTGAGATCAACCCGTGATTGAAGTCTTACCAATTTGAAAATCTGGACATGGACTGTTCAATGTTGAACACTTAGCCGTCAGTAATGTGGATTACAAACTGAATTCGGTAGTCCGTTGTATTTTTGTGTTTGAAATGCTTTCATATATTGAGTGGAACTCTTCAACAGAATAAATGTTTGTATTTTAGAACAAGTTGGGTTCGACAACATAACAAGCCTTATTAATAGATTTCCATTTTTAAATGCAGCCTGATATTCCATTTTTCTCAGTCATCTCCTCAATGAAACGGCTTATGCGTTACCACATTGGGTCTGTTGCCCTTGGTTCTCTAGTTGTTTCTTTCACAGAGTCCATCCGTTTCATACTCGAAGTGCTTCGTCGCAAATTTAAAGCAACTAGTTCCACACAAGAAAGTTGGGGGGACAAGATGGTTTTTAATACCTCAAGGGGTTGCTCGAAATGTATTAGCTGGATTATTAAATCTGTGAACCATAATGCTTATATTATGGTAAGGATAAGGAAGTACGTTTTACTTGTTAAATCATCTCGTCAAATATAAACCTTGAGGATAGAATCTCAAGTATTAATAAGGTATCCAGTCCATCACGCTTAACAGCTCACATAAGACTACAAAAAGAGCACAGTAATTTCAAGTTTTGTCTTTTCTAAAGAGCCTCCATCTTGTGGGCATATTCAACCATCTTGTGTTTTTTGTCTCTTTCTTTCAGATTGCTATTACAGGAGAAAGCTTCTTCAAAGCTTCAGAGGCTGCAACAGAACTGATTATCAGTAATATCCTCAGAATAGGAAAAGTCAATGTTATTGGTGATGTCATCCTTATTCTCGGGAAGCTATGCATCAGTCTTGCATGCACACTATTTGCTTTCCTGATGTTGAATAGTCACAAGTACAACTCGGGATACAACAAGATCTCATCCCCACTGTTTCCAGTGCTGGTGTGGTTTCCCAACCCTCTTTAAAAATCAGGGTTAATGTGTCAAACCCTCACGTGATATATAAATTTTATTTGCATTAGTCATACATGATTAAAAATATACTATGTATATCAAAGCCTTTTTTGTTATGATTAATTACGCACGCACTACCTCAGAACGAAAATTGTAACTGTCTGGTTAAAGCACACGCCTTGATATTTTAGTAATAACTGAAGTATTTAATTATTCACACAAATTTACATACATGCTGCCATGGTGGACCATAACATCAAAAGCGTGTGTTTCCCCGATAGTAAAAAATGTTTATCTAGAGTACTTCATGCAAGATTTATGCAATTTTTGAATCACAAAGGGCGGATACATAGCTTATGCATAGAGTTTGTACATATGAAGGGAATATGGTAGATTAAAACCTTAAAATTCTCATTAACCAAACAGCCTCTTAAGGATTTAGCAAAGTCATAAGTTTGTATCTACATGTGTATGTATGTGTATACATATATTTATATACGGAGTATGAAAGTGATTTGTGATGCCCCTTTTTGTATGACAGGTGTGCTGGGGGCTTGGATATATTGTTGCAACCCTTTTCTTTGTAGTGGTGCAGATGTCAATTGATACCATGATCCTTTCATTTTGCCAAGACACTAGAGTCAATGGAACTGGCCACTACACACCACCAGCCCTTCTGGCTGAGGCTTTGATGAGTGACCATAATGACATATAAAGGCACTTTGCACAATCATCGCCCTAACTTCACATATGCAAGCTTCCTCTAGTAGTGTAGCTTCATACTTTTTGGTTGTGATGTCTATCTCTAGAGTTTTTTTGCCCTTCCTCCTTAGTGTCATTCACACACTTTTGATAATCGACCACAATGTATATAGTTTCAGGTATGTCTATATCTATAATGTAATAAGTTCCAATTCATATCGTTGCGGATGTATACTACGCCTTAATGAATATTTCACATACTTGTGAATTGTGGTGAGCATCACCATTCTATAGGGTCGGGGTGTGGCCTCAGAGCGAGGGATTTTGTCTTTTGGTCCATATAATATGTGATGAGGATTTATTTACTTAGTAAAGACCCTATAGTGTACTTGTGATGTGAATTCTTACTTAGGTTGGTTGTGTTTTCTGAAGTTGGTTTCCACCTCGAGCAGTATGAAATGCTCTACCATTCTTCCTAACCTCATCCGAATGAAGAAGTGCTAAACAAAACAGTTTTCATTATGGATTCTAGAAAGTAGAAACCACCAATCTGCTACCTAAACTATTTTTAAAAAGGACGTACAATATGCAGGAAAGCAAGACCAAGGTCAAAGGAAAAGAACTTTTGTAAGAAAAAAGTGGAGGTTTTTGAGTGAGCCTACAAATTAAATCTATTTTCTGCTCTAATTACAATTTTAGTAAAAGCTATGTATTACTAGTACTATGTTATATTCAATATATTCTAAAATTGATTGAAAAAAGAAATCTTAAAATTTCTTGTGTTTTAAATTTTAAAATTTATTTATTGAAAACTGTGTTCTTATTTTATTGATTATAAAATATTCAAACTTTTGCAATACAACCAAATAAAGTTTAGTACTCTGTACTAATTGTTGTTATTTATATTAAAAAAATTTGTTAACTTTTTATCTATAAAAAGTTATGCTATTAATAAAAAGATAGACATGTGTTATTTATGGATAAATGGTCTAGTTGTGCTATTAATAAAAAATATGTGTTATTTACCTTTAACTGTAGTGAAGTATTGCTGAATTTTGCACATCAGACAATAAGAAAAAATTATTAAAAGCAGTCTTTCTATTTTTTGTACTACAAAGATAGACATGTTTCGAATTTCATACTGTGCACGCTTTCTTTTACTGTCTTTCAAATTCTATATTTGATTGCATTTTCCTTTTATTATTTTTAATCAAATACTATATTAATGATTTATTGTGTAAAACAATGCTGACTATTATGAACATCGGTATTTTTGTATGGAACATCAAACATAATAAAGATGGGCCTGCATATGGACTTGGTCATACAAATAAGGTCTATAATTTATATCTATGTTTTAATTCTTTTATTTCCCTACACACTTCTTTCTCTATGTTAAAATAAAACAATCATCTCACTCTATGTAGGGGTGGACTCGGGTCCGGGCCGGGTCTGGGTCGGGCCTAGGCTCGGGCGGGCCGGCGGTTCAGGAGTGTTGGACCCAGGACCGGCCCGGGTAACCACCGGGTCCGGTCCGGGTCCGGGCCGGGCCCATTATCAACTATTTTTTCCCCTCTTCCTAATTAACCCCCTCCCACCCCAACCCCCAAACCACCCCAAATGGCCCAAAATACCTAACCCAACCCGAAAATATAAAAAAAATTGAAAAAAAAATCAAATTTGGACCGAACCGGGCCCGGGCCCAGCCGGGTCGGGCCTTGTTTTGGGTGACCCGAGCCCGGACCGGAAAACTCACGGGTCGGGCCTACCCGGACCGGTCACTGACCGGGCCACCGGGTCGGGTCGGGCCAGAACAGTACCGGTGCCGGGCCGGTTCCGGGTCGGGCCACCCGGCCCGAGTCCATCCATAACTCTATGTATCTCTTATGCAACATAAGTTGGACCTTACTACACTATATATCCTCCCATGGAAGATGATCTAATATAATTGTCTAACTCGGTCATATGAAAATGCTACTCTATGAATTTATATAATTTTAACATGAGGTTCTTCACCTAGTTTAAGAGTCAAACTAGCTCATGAACGGGGTTGAAAATGATATGGAAAAGTAAAATAAATGGGTATGTTTAGACTCAAAAGCATGAAAAAGGAGATCTTGAGCTAAGATCATTTCTGGAATTCTATTCTATTTTTAGTCGTCTGATTAGAAGTATTTCTCGTATTTTTGGAAGTTAACTTCTATTTACTCATATTTTGGGTCATTAATCTAATTTTGATTGACAGTAGTAGAATTTTGGGGTGAAACTAGATTTTCTTCCACTGCCAGGTGTCAACTGCCAACTCAGTACAGACCGAGAGATATCGACATAGAAACTTGCCCGACTCAGTGAGGCGCGACTCGCTTGTGTAACCAAAGTCTTCCATGGATCGAGTTCTGAAAGCTGCGAGAATCTCTGGTTCACTCAATTTATCCAACCGGTCTCTCAGGTTGGTTGTTTAAATTCGTTAAACGATACATTTGGCTTATGCATTTCTGTTAACTGTAACGCCTCATTTCAGTTGACAATTGTTATCAGGGAAGTGCCATATGAGGTTTACCAAAGTCTGGATGCAGTTGGTGGGGAGGAGAAATGGTGGGAGGTATTTGTTCTGTTGGGACTTGTTTTTGTTGCTTCTTTGATGATCAAGTTAAGATGCCATGTGCTCGTATTTTCATTCAATGAATTGAAATGTGAAGCCTAAGGTTGTGATTTCTAGGCATATGTGATAAAGCTAAACAAGTTGTTTGTTTTATTAAAATCCGAATTGAAAGAGAAGAGTTTTGTTCGAGAAGAGCTTCTTCCAAAAATAGTCTTTTTTCAACAAACCAACTTTTTTTCACCTGGCTATTTGAGCCCTATTGGGCAGTTTTTTGCCAAGCCGAGATGGATTTAATTGATTGATAATGGAAATATTCGTCCAATGTGTAAAACGTTTTTTTGTCAAAGAGGCTAGATGAAAGAAAAAGACAACTGTTCCCTTATTTTCATAAGTTTTTGTTCCTTTTTACTTACAGAAACAACTTTAATTTTTTCCATAACTGAGAAGGTTGAACAACTTCATCCATTTTCCCCGTAATTTTAAGCAATATGAGGTGGTGAGCCATCTCAGCTCAAAGAGGCTCTGGTTTTCCTTTTTAATCATATTTCCATAACAGGAAGAGTTCTAAACAAGTTATGTGAAAGTATTTGTCACATAGTGCCAAAATATGAAATATTTAAAAGAAATGAGAACATTATGAACTCCAAGTCTTAATACAATATATTTGCGACATAAGGAGGTATTAACGCACATTAAGAAAATTGAAATTTTGTGATTAGTATTGTACGTGTAAAGTATGAACGAGTTCGAACAATACAAGTATTACCAAATATAATGAGACTGAACATTAAAGGAAAGATCAGACCAAAATAGTGGGAGAGAGGGATTATTTTTAGCTTCCTTTATTAATATCAGTATTAATTACTTTTTCTATTAGTATTAGTTTCCAATTACTCTGTTAGTAATGGCCTTCCATTATAATCAATATTTATCATAGCGTCATTATAGTAGGTTTATGGCTATCTATCTTAATTAAAATTTCTTATAGCATCATTGTCCTAGGTTTATATTTAGTCTAGTACTTTTTCACCAAGACTCTTAAAACTGGTATAAAATGAGGTGTTCAGTTCATTAGTAAGATCATCAATCTTTTCGAGTAACTGTTATTATGATAGAACTGACTATTTCTCTATCTTCTCTTCATCTCCCAACCGAACACGTAACGTTATGATTGATGGATTATTAGAGGGCCACTTTACCAAAATTTAAGACTTATGTCTTGTGAAAACATGACTATTGTGATACAAAGGTGTTTTTTGGTATATATGCCTATTTGAAGGTAAAACTATGAAATGTTTAAATGCAATTGAATGATTTCCAGGCAGTGGAATTGCAGAAGTTGATTTTGGCTCATAATGATATTCAAACATTGAAAGAAGACATCCGGAATTTGCCTCTCTTGTCAGTGCTGAATGTTAGTCACAATAAGCTTTCATGTCTTCCAACTGCTATAGGAGAGTATGTTATTTCAAAATGCCTAAATGCAAAACGCCTGCTTTTTTTATTCGAAGTTTCAAAGAATCTTCAGCTTACCAGTATGCCTTCACTTCATTTGACTAGGCTTCCGATGCTTAAGTCATTGGATGTGTCATTTAACTTAATCCAGAGTGTTCCAGAAGAAATTGGAGCAGCAACCACGCTAGTCAAGTACGTTTTTCTATTTTCTAGAGCATATCTTTTTCAACATAACTGATAAACAAAACAAAAAGTTTTTATTTATTTATAAATGCTTACTCCACCACGCCAGGTTTGATTGCTCAAACAACCAACTAAATGATCTTCCCGATTCTCTTGGAAGATGTTCAAATTTAGCTGAACTTAAGGTAGTTTCTCTTGATACTGAAGTTATAAAGTTCTGGATAATTGATCCAGTGCTTTACTTATTTATTGCTTTTTGAGTCATTCTATAATGTTTTCTAATAGAGGGCTTAATTTTGATTAAAAAAATTAATCTGATGAGGCACAGCTAATATTTCATGATCCCCAGGTGTACCAAATGATCTATCCATTTTCTTTTATATTTAGTCATCTCTGACTTCTGATTAGTTGATAGAGCACTGGTAATCTATCCTCAGAACAATTATAGAAAATCAGTAGGAAAGGTAGAAGAACAGATCGAAAAGCTTTATTCACCAAGATGAACAGATCACAAGGGATACAATGCTCATGGACCATTCGAGATGCCCAGTCTCCAAGTCTAATCTCAACAGAAATAACAGCCTACCTCCTGCCAGCTATTCTTCTTCTATTTATAGTAATCTATCCACGCAGGGATATAAGGGTATAACTAACTAGTTAGCTAATTACTAACTACTCTCCGGTTCCTCCTGTGATAGACTTTATTAAAATATTGAATAGGCTGCTGATCTGTATGCATATCATTAGTTGTGTGCATTGTATATCTTACATATGTTCTCATCAGTTCAAAGTGAACTAAAAAATGTTCCATAATTGTTAAGTGTCATGTATCAAATGTTTATCAGATCTGAGGCTAATATATATGTATGAGGTAAACCGGTCTGCGGTCTTTAAGCGCGGTTGGCGTATTGCTGCACTTTGAGTTTCAGGGAGTGGGAGTATGATTTGCAATTGACCAACTTGGTTGTCCACTTAAAAGAGAGTGTTACGAGTTTCAAAACCTGAAAATTAGAAGAGTGAGTGATGGATTAAGTAGACCTTTGGTTGAACGGGCTGACAGATCGTGTTTAATTTATTAGTGTGGTTTGACCTAAGTGTCTTGAGTCCAGTTGAGTGGCCTCAAACCAATTTTGAATTCTATCAATAATAGTACTTCATAACAATCATACCAATGTTTCATAATGGAGAGATCAAGTTCATTCACTGTGATCTTGGAGGTTTTAGATA